CAGCCTCCCAGAGACAGGAAGTGGTAATACATAATTATACATAACATTGTATTATTAGCAGCTAGTGGTGCACCGAAATGAAAATTCTGGTACCGAAAATTCAATATGCACTTGCCCAAAAACCGAAATGTGTAGTTTTTAAAAATGAAATATATATGTTTTGTAAAAAATACACTTTGATTAAAAAAAACAATATATACCCCAATTTTTTGTTAAATATGAAAGAGGATGTTACGGCAAGTAAACAGATGCCCAACATGTCACACTTTAAAATTGTGCACTCTTGTGAAATGGAGTTAAACTTTGGTACTTAAAAATCTCCATGGGTGGTGATTTAAAAATTTCTACAGGTTAGCAGTGCAAAGTTACAGAGGAGGTCTAGTGCGAGAATTATTGCATTCGCTCAGACGTTCGTGGCGATATCTCACATGGTTTGAACACCATTTACATATGTGGACATGGCCTAAGTATGCGTTCAGCACTATGTGCGAGCACGGGGGGGGGGGGGGGGGGACAAGGGCACTTTAAACTTTCTTTAAAAAATGTACTTAACGGGTTTTTGTTTTTTTTTTTTTTTTTTTTTTTTTTGCACTGTTCCTTTTAATAAATAATGTAATCACTTTTATTCTTATCACAAGAAATGCATGCATCCCTTGTGACAGGTCCTGGGGGTAAATCCTCAGGAGCGCAAGTGGTTAAATTATTTTTATGCTAACGCTTTTTATTTTTTTTTCACTTTTATTGCTGTCACAAGGAACGTAAACATCCCTTGTGACAGCAATTGGCAGTGACAGGTACTCTTTATGGAGAGATATGGAGTCAATAAGGCCCCATATCTCTCCTCTGCAATGTAAAGCATTGGATCAAAAAAAAGCATTGATCTAGTGCTTTAAAAAAAGAAAAAAAAAAATGTCCAGAATCGGACATGACATCACTCCGGTCCTCCAAGGGCATATGTGGCGGCCATCTGTTCTTCACACATCTCTATTCCCAGCGCCGGGATCGATGGTTTCTCAGGTAAGGCTGAGAACTACTGAGCGGCCGGTGGCAGCGGCGGCGAAGTGCGGGGTTTTTCTGCACCTGTATCGGTGCTTTTTTTTCATTTCGGCCGAAAGGGGTGTTTTCAGCCGAAAGGTTTCAGCCACTGAAATTTCAGTGCATCCCTATTAGTAGCTAACAGTAAAGGGCAACAGATCCCTACACATGCTGATGTATATGTACTGCACGTACTGATGCAACAAACATATATACTTTAAACCAGGGTTTGAAATTTCCACTCGCCTGCTCCCCATTGGCAAGTGGAAATTATGGTGGGGGCGAGTGTCCCACAAGGCCGTCTTGCTGAGCAGGCTCGGAGCTCAGGCCGGATCTGTCATTGGCACTGGGAGCCGTCAGACTACTCAATAGCTGAGCGCAGTGAAAGCAAAGGAAGGAGAGTGTGCTGTGCTCTCTGCCTCCCCCTAGAGTGCAGTACCCGGCTCTGTGAGTGAACAACGAAGTACTGCAACTTTTTATGGGGGGTGTGTGTGTAGTGTATGTGTGTGTGTGTGTGTGTCTGTGTGTATGTACATGTGTGTATCTGTACATGTCTGCGTGTATGTAGATGTATGTGTGTGTGTACCTGTGTCTGTGTGTGTGTGTGTGTGTACGTACGTGTGTCTGTGTATGTATGTACATGTGTATGTATGTACATGTGTCTGTGCGTGTGTATTTCTGTGTATGTACATGTATCTGTGTGTATGCATTTCTGTGTATGTATATGTATCTGTGTGTATGCGTGACTGTATGTGCCTGTGCGTGTATACATTTGTCTGTGTGTGTATGTGTGTGTACTTGTGTCTCTGTGCGTGTGTACATGTTTCTGTGTGTGTGTATGTACAGGTGTCTTTTTGTTTTTGTGTGTTTGTTGGTGGCGAGTAACTCTTAAGACCTGGCTAGTAGCTCAGGACTTGAAATTTTAAGCCCTGCTATGATTACAAGTATCAGTGCATTCCTTAGGAAACAGTAAGATAATATTGAACAAAAACAACAGGGTTTATTGCACCCAGTATCTTAGTGATGTCTGATGGAAGTCATGTTGCAAAACAAATTCCACAGATGAGTTACTTTGTATTAATACTAAAGTCTATAATAGTTGAATGTGTTTTAGATTTTCAAATATGCCATCTTACTAGAACTGACCATATGCGAAATAGAGGGCAAGCTGGTTGTGGAGCTTGGGGTATAGGTGGTAGAGAGTGAGTGGACCACTGGAATAAGTGATGTGAGTGGGAGCTCATCATGGACCGTGAGGAGAGAAAAAAAGAATGTGGCATGATTGTTCTCAGTTACAATTTAAATAATTGTGAAGCAGATCATTTCTTTGCATGCCCTTCTTCAGAAGTAATATTTTATCGTCCTTTCACCCTGGTATTTTTATGATGTATCATTTTCTTCTGTTTAGTCAAGAAGGTCTACAGTACCTTTGATTATAATGCTTTATATCTTTAGTCTGATTCTCAGAATATGCTACAAAAATCCCTTTGTTAAATGTTACCTTTGCAATGTATTTATGATTTCTAGCATTGTAGTATACTGGAATAATTCTAACTTTTATGCTTTGTTTGTAAATTTACTATAAAAATAAAAAGGAAACTGGATTTGGAGTAGTGGGGGGAAAAAATCAGAATAGAAAATCATCGACCATTGGGACTAGAGGAGAAGATTATTCTGGTTGGGGAGGTTGGGTGAAGAGAGCAGAAGCAGCACAAGCATTAAAGTGTGTTTCTACTATTACAATCAAAATTTAGAAAACCCCCCTCTGTTTATGTGTTTGTGTTCAAACAGTCACGTGGTAAGGTGACGCAATGCGTCGGCTGCACGGTGACGTACTTCCGGTTTGAGACGCCATCTTGCTATACCCATGTAGTACACCCAAAAACAAGAGGTTTGCCTATATGAAAGCTGTGTGCAAGGATATTAATATGTGAGTGCATATAATGAAGGTTTGGGGTAATATATTCTCATCAATAAAACAGTATTGCGCTATAGGAGTTTTTTTGTGTTTTTGATGAGATTATTGGCCATATCCGATCTGGAGAGTGTTTTATTGCCACAATACCTGTTCGTGAGGGGAAACTGCTGTGGAGAGAAGGGTCGCCATTCCAGGAGGAATCTCTCTTGCATGGAGAATCCTTGTGAGTGATCCAAAAGCGTTTTGACCCTTAGCAGGTCGAAACATTGAGGTGAGCGTGCAATACAGCCACTTTTGGATACGTGTTATCATCCATTTTGAACACGGGTGTTTGTTGGAAGATTGAGAGTTTGTGATAAACACAGCTTTTTGGAATTTTCTTCAATTGAGGAACTTGCAGAGTTCCTGTAGTTAATTTCATCTATCTATATCTATATATATATATATATATATATATATATATATATATATATATATATATATATATATATATATATATATATATATATATATATATATATATATATATATTCATGTTGGGGGATAGTATTTGTCACTATCACGCATGCGTTTATGTATGTATTTTGCACTTTGGGTTGCATTTGTTTTTTTTTTTTTTTTTTTTTTGCTACATGCGTTTGTGTACAAATGCGTTGATTGTAACTAATTTTTGAGTGTTTTTTGTAAGTCATCACTTGGATTTTTCAGAGTCCTTTTTTCTTTTGAGCACAGATATAGTCATTGGACTATCTTTTGTACTTCATGTAGTTATATGATCCCCTTTAGATCAATTGTTTGGGGGATCAGTGTGGGTCACTGGAGTGTTATTTCATCATCTTTATTAAGTTGTTTGATCACTTTGTTTCACTTTTGTAAGATCAATTGTTTATGTAGAAATATAGCCCACTGGCTGCACAAATATTTATATTTTTATATTTGTCACTTTATGATAATAGTCACTGAGTGTGTCTGTGTGGGGTCACTTATTTACACAATATTCATTGTTTATGCATTATTTATTGTGTGGTTGGAGAAAACGTACTACAGAAAAATGCTGTAACACAATATCAGTGACTAGATAGCAGCCACCGGATTTAGAGTTCAAGTATCATATAAAACACAGGGTAATAGAGACTGTATAGGGCTACAAGGAGCAGGTGGTATTATGGGCATTTATTGATCTGAATGAGTGCTGAGAGTACATAGTGCTCACAATGGGGTAAGGGGGGACTGCAGTATAAGCTAGTGCATACACTGAAGAAATGGATACAACACAAGGGTGCACAGAGTGTTTAGTACCGTGGACACTGCCTAGGGACCACTGCATGGTGCAGATGTAGTCAATAGTAATGAAATAATATCTCCAGCATAGTGTGGTCACTACTGAGTGAACAACAGGCATGCCACAAACCTGCCAACATTGAGAAGAATCGAATCTGAGAGGAGAAGCATATGCCTTCATACTACTCATATGTGATTAGTTACATCGGGGTTGATTTACTAAAGGTAAATGGGCTGTGCACTGCAAGAGCACTGAAAAAGCAGTTGCTCTAGATCTCAGGAAAACATGCAAGGACAATTAAAAAAAAAAAAAAAAAACTGCATTTTTGGTTGCGCATGATTGGATGAAAAAAATCAGGAAAGCTTCGTCTCATTTCAGAGCTTGCCTCAGATATAAAGCAGTTGCACTTGCAGTGCACTTTCGCAGTGCACGCTATATTTACCTTTAGTAAATCAACCTCTTTATAGGACACAGAGAAAGGATTCAAACTCTCATAACTTGTGAGCAGCTGAGCAGGGATAAGAACTGTCATGTGCTGTGAGCACAATAATGCTGATGATTTGGGCTGGAAAACTGCTTTGTGCACTCGCAAGAAATAGTATCATATACCTTATTTTTTAAAAAAAAGTTTTAATCCCACCAAGTTCTATTAACGGAAAGTCATTATTCATTGGAATACATATTTTAGGTTATTGTTTTTAGACTGTGTTGTACTTATAGTCTCCCTCCTTCCTGATTTGTATGCTGTATGCTCTGTGTTTTGCAGGTATTACTCTTATAGCAATTGATGAAGCACACTGCATTTCAGAATGGGGTCATGACTTCAGAAGTGCCTACCGGAATTTGGGCTCCCTCAAGAAAATGCTTCCATCAGTAAGAATTCCAGAAACTGTTTATTCATCTGAAAGGGGATACTTCCTTTGTCTCCAGTAGATTATCAAAGCAGCATGCAGCAGTGGATTTAAATAAGTACACATTTAGTTTTTAAATCTCCCTCACTCCTAAGGCTCTCTGCCCCTGCCGTGTTTGAGTCCTCAACTTAAAGCGGAGTTCCACCCAAAAGGGGAAGTTCCTCTTTACTGCTTTGTCTCCCGCTCCCCATTAAGGTTTGGCACCTTTGGGGAGCAGGGGAGGAGCGGGTACCTGTCAAATTCGGAAGCGGACATTGTCCTCCCTCCCCATAGTCTTCTGGGACACGTGACAGGTCCCAGAAGACTACGGGGCCATTTGCAAAGCGTAGCACTTCTCGTGCATGCGTGGTGGGCACCCGGGTGTGAAGCCACAGGCTGTCACAGCCAGGTGCCCACACTAAAGATGCTGGCGCCAGGGAGAGAAGACGGACGGTTAAATCAGCGGTGGTGAGGACCGGACCGAGGGACAGGTAAGTGGCTGTATTTTAAAAGTCAGCAGCTACAGTTTTTGTAGCTGCTGACTTTTTTTTTTTTTTTTTTTCCCCGCTGGAACTCCACGTTAATATGGATTAGGCCTACTGTCTTCACAGGCTTTGCACTTTCTGGCTATGCTTGCATGGGTTTCCATCAGGTGCACTGGGATTTTTTAACCAGTACAAACCAAACTGTATGGTTGTGGTTGGGACATTAGACTCTGGGACAGGTTCATTGTACTCTATAGCAAAACACGTTTCTGCTGAAACCCCCTTATTTTGATCCACGTATGGACAGCTAAAGGCTAGATGCACACTGCTGCAGCACAATTTTGATTTGACTTTCAGTGCGGTTATGTAGTGCAACTTTGATATGGTTTGTATATTCAATGGGACCATAACTGCACCAGAATAGCACCAAAGTAGTACAGGAATCTTTTGCAAAACTGCTCCATGCTGAGTTGCATTGATGTGAATAGACACCATTGAGACAATGTGATTTCCATTGTCATGTTATTCTGTGCGACTCATGTCGCTTCTGAAATCTCACTATTATGAACCAGGCCTAACTGAGGAGTTAGCACACATATTTGGTTTTATCTACTAACCATTTTCTAAACTGGCTGTAAATGACTTTATTTAATAGGAGTAACAAAAAGGTACATGTGCCACTGTTTGAGAATCTCTGATATAGGTAACATTGTGTATTTATAGTAGTAGGGAGAGCCGGCAGCTACAAAATCCATATGAAAAATGTTATTAGTTATACGGGAATAACTTAAAAAGCAAGCTGACACATTTCAGCAAACAACCTTGTTCACAGCATGTATCGCTCATTTATAGTAATTAAAGGCTTGTAAAGGTGAGAAAAGCAATAAAAGGCAAATCCATATATTACTGTTGCACACTTTAGTTTTATCTACCAGGTGCTGTTCTCTAACTAAAATGCTTTATAGTATAATTTTTAAGAATCTGTAACTGCTATGTTAATTTAGGTTAAAGTGAACTCTGCTTTTAAAAATAATGTAGCCACCTTCTCTAGATTGCTCCTGAGATGGGTTAATAACCATGGACCATAGTCCCTAGTCCATCTCAGAAGAAAACAAGAGAGGGTAGCTACGCTCATACATACAGTCAGACCATGGAGAATGAACATAGCCACCAGGAAATCAGTTCACAGCAGCAAAAACAAAGTTATTTGGAGTAGGCTGAGAGCAATAGAGGATGCATTTTTAAAATAAAAACACATGATTTGAATAATTATTTTTCTTTTTAGACCACTGTGGAGTGTCAAATTATTGTATTATGTAATCAAACTGATATAATAGAACAACATTTAGAACCAGATATAATATACACCTCTTGAGTGTGAACAGGCGTTTTCACCAGTCCAGAAACGTGCTTGGGCACTTCTACCTAATGTTAAAGGGACACTGTTGTGAGAGATGGATTCTGATATTGCTGAACTTTTCATTTGGAAATTCTAGTTCTCTGGCTTCAATTTGTATGCTTTGACTACAATGTGTCTGCATTGTTGACCTGCTTATATGTGTAAAGATAAGTAGTTCTGACACTTTTCTTACGCTCATTTCCAGGTCTGTGACTGAAACATACTGAAGCCATAGCCATGCATCTTGCATTTTTACAAGGCCTGTAAGGACAGCCTAATGCTTCTCTAGGGACCAAGTCAGTTAAAAATGCTGAAATTAGAAGACCTTGTAATAAATGTTAGCTAATTAACACGTCTCCCAATTTCACATTGTCATTAAGCAGTGCTACCCTGCTCAGTATAGATTTGCTAATGACAGCACAATATTATTTGGTTGATTTGGCTAGGAGGTAAGATCTCTATACAGTGCACTAAATTATTATTATCATACAGTATTTTATATAGCGCCAACAGTTCGCTCAGCGCTGTACATTACAATGGGAGACAATACACGGGACAGTACAATAACAATACAATGCGATACACGAGGGGTTCGCGGGCCCTGCTCCTTGGAGCTTACAATCTAGGTGGGAGCGGATAGTGGTACGGGAGGAATAGCTGTGGGGGATGGAGTGGTAGGAGGAGTGGAGGAGATCGGCAATTAGCGGAGGGCGGGGTAGGCTTCCCTGAAGAGGTGGGTTTTCAGGGTGCGCCTAAAAGGGGAGGAGATTAGGTGATAGTCTGATGAATTGGGGTAGGAAGTTCCAGAGGATGGGGGAAGCCCTGGAGAAGTCCTGGAGATGGGCATGGGAGGAGGAGACCAGGGAACTAGAGAGAAGGAGGTCTTGTGAGGAGCGGAGAGTACGTTTAGGGTGCTATTTGGATATCGGGTCGGTGATATAGTTTGGGGCAGTGTTATGGACAGCTTTGTACGTCAGTGTTAGCATTTTGAATTTTATCCGTTGGGCAATCGGAAGCCAGTGGAGGGATTGGCAGAGGGGGGTGGCGGATACGGAGCGATTAGTAAGGTGGATGAGTCTGGCCACAGTATTCAGGATAGACTGAAGCGGGGATAGCCTGTGGTGAGGTAGGCCGGTGAGGAGGGAGTTACAGTAGTCAAGTTGTGATATGATGAGGGAGTGAATGAGTGGCTTAGTAGTTTCCGGGGTTAGGAACGGACGTATTTTGGAGATGTTGCGGAGGTGGAGTCTACATGAGTTTGTCAGCGATTGAACCTGGGGCTGGAAGGACAGATTGGAGTCTAGGATGACACCAAGTACTCTGGCTTGCAGGGTGGGACTGATGGTGGCATTATTGGTCATGATGGAGAAGTCGGGGGGGGCGGGGGGCGGGCTGGGGGGAAAACTAGGAGCTCGGTTTTGGAAAGGTTCAGTTTGAGGAAGTGGAGTGACATCCAATCCGATATATCATTCAGTAGGCTAGTGATTTGGGCGGAGACTGAAGGGGTGAGGTGAGGGGTAGAGAGATAGATTTGCATGTCGTCGGCATAGAGATGGTAGTTGAAGCCGTAAGAGTGTATCAGTTGGCCAAGGGAGGAGGTGTAGATGGAGAAGAGAAGGGGCCCGAGGACAGAGCCTTGAGGGACCCCTACAGAGAGGGGGAGTGAGGGGGAGGTGGCAGCGTTATAGGGAACACTGAAGGAGTGCTGTGATAGATAGGAAGAGAGCCAAGAGAGAACGGAGTCTCTGAGGCCAAGAGAGTGTAGTTTTTTGAGGAGGAGGGGGTGGTCGACTGTGTCGAAAGCTGCGGAGAGGTCGAGGAGTAGGAGCACTGAATAGTGGCCATTAACTTTGGCGGTTAGCAGGTCGTTGGTGAGTCTAAATGCATTCTACTATGGAAAATGTGTTTTATACCATCATGACACTACAATTTAGTCCTGTCATGCTCTAGTGTACATTATTTTCCCCTTACATCCAGGCCATCTTTATGAGGATTTGTGATTTTTGAACAAGCTCTGTAGGCTTCTTTGAATGACAAAGTAAATCATGTTAGAAAAATGCTTAAACGGATTAAAATTTATCAAGTCTACTTCTACTTTCTTTTCTGAATCAATTCAGGTACCTATTGTGGCTTTGACAGCAACAGCCAGTCCCTCAATCCGTGAAGATATTTTGAAATCCTTAGATTTGCAAAATCCACAAGTCACATGCACTAGTTTTGATCGACCAAACCTTTTTCTGGAAGTAGGAAGGAAAACTACAAATATCATACAGGATCTTCAAAAGTTTCTTATTAAGAAGCCAAGGTAAGGGCAATGATGTAAAGCATGGTAAGGGTGTGGGATGTAAAGCATTTATTTAGGCCTAGTTGTGTTTATGCAAGTGTTATGATTGTGTCACTGCACATAGCACACTTACATCATGCCTTCCTTCTCCCATCATGTTGCCTCTATATTTTACTAAATTTCTTGTTTATTGAATGATTGTGCTTCCTAAACAAAGCATGTAATTATTTTTTTTTTCTTTACCAGCTTGGGTTTGATCCCTCTGCAATCTGTTTTTGTAGCATGAACAGATCATAAGAAGCTATATCTTGCTTTCAGCTAGAGGTCTTGAAGTTGCAGAAACAAAAACGTTTTTTACTGCACTGGGATAATGCCTGAGGCAGCTTCCCATGGCGAATCAGAAAGCCCAGTATATAGCAATAGTTCTCTGAAATAGCTGCCCAACCCTATGTTTTATTTTCTCTCCTGTAATTCTGTACCTACAACTGTAATCCTTATTGGTGTTCCAGGTGAGGCCTGGATGACCCTAAGAGGTTGCACCCATAATCTGGGTCTTGCGTCCTTTTCCCCTCCCACAAAGCTATACCAAAAATGCTATATTCCCTCTTTATTTAGTTTGTGTTATGGTGCATTCTTCAGGGAGAGCATGTCCGCATACTGACCCCACTAGCGCATCAGTCAGTATAGTGTAGCTCATATTAACAGTTTTCATCTTTATTGTTGAAAAGATTGTTTTCTCTTATTGGACATTTTAAACCTGTTTGGAATTCATATTTAAGTAGAAGCAAAGCACATACTAGAACTGTATTCTAGGAGTTCTGTGGTCACAGTATATCTTTTAATTTCATCATTCCAATATAATCTTACTTGAAAAATTTCCTTTCATGATGTAAGTTCTGCCTGTCTGCTGCTCATCTCTTTCTACAACTTCCTGGATTCCCAGCATGCTTTGCAGTGTCTCCTCTGCTGGTAATATTAATTTCTAACGACTTCCTATCCCGTGGTACCTTGCTCAGTGATTCCTGTACTGATTTTGCTTCCTGAAACTCCTCTTGTCAGCACCTCTAGCCCAGAAGGCAATGGGATTGCGTTTCGTAGAGGCGCTTACATATTTAATACTTGTCACAAAATTTAAGGAATTAAATGTGTGGATTTCTTCAGAAGAAGTAAGTTTACAAACTTCAAGATCCTTCAGATGAATATATGATGTTACATTTTTCATTTTGAAATGCCTTTCATTTTACTTTTGTCTTGATTATTATATTTAAGACATAGTCATATAGACAAAACACACTAGTTGTCTTGTCTAAACAGATAGAAGTTTGCATATAGTGGGATATTTATATGGTATTAAATCTTGCTGTGCAGCTAAATGCAGTCTGTTCTATACTTCCAGCTATTACATTTTCAGCAAAGGCTAACCACTGTAAACATCACTGAGATTGTAGGACAGCAAGTCAGCTACTGTACTGTATATATAAGAAAACTTTTTCGAGCTAAATAGTTAAAGGTAACAAGGTAATGTTTCAAAAATATAAATAGAATTAAAGTGATTGTAGAGAGGTTTTTTTATTAAAATTAAAAGATGTTATATTTACCTGCTCTGTGCAATGATATTAGTGGTCTCTTATTTCCTCCTCCTGTCCCCTGCTGGTGCTCTCCACTCCTTTTTATGAATGTCCCTCAGCGAGCTGGCTGCTGAGGGGGCACCCATGCAGGCGCACTCCCGAGCCAGGATCCATGGACACACACATAACATCCCTTGGTTCCTTCTCACAGGATTTGACTAACAGCAGCAGGTATCTATGGCTCCTGTTGCCCTCAGAGTCTCTTGTGTGAAGAGGAAGAGGGAGGAGCAGTGCTGCATACAGGATAGTGCTGGATGGGTAAGAGGAACCAGAGAAGTGTTTAGAGAGGGCTTGGGGGGGCACAGCCAGTGAAGTACATAGAATGTATTACAATAAAAACACTTAGAGTTTAGAACCACTATAAAATAACCTAATCCACCTTTTAGATTTGCTTTATGTGTGTATGTCTAAACTGTGTTGCCTTTAAATAAATAGAATATATACATGAGTGTGGAAATTTTAAAAAAATTTCCAGGATGAAAATATGAAGGGTTGATAGAAGTGCTTTTAGGAATGTCTGGGGCTTTATAGCAACTTAAATTTTTAATGTTTTTTATTTTTTGATAGAAAATTTCTTAAAAACCCCAAACATTACATTATTTATTTTTTTTTTTTTTAAAGCGGAGGCACTAGAGAATAAGTTGGTGGGTGTTGCAATTCTTATGTCACTAGGTATTCACACAGCAGTTTTTCAAACGCAATTTTAAAAAAAAAATTTTTGGAAAAAGAAGATGATTTTACACCGAGTAAAGGGCTAGTTCACACTAGATGCAGTCCAATGCTTTTTTCTGCATCAAAAAAGCATGCAGAGTGTTTTCCATGTATTCCAATGGCCCTAGTTCACACTAGTGCAATCAGTTCCAGTCAGTTTCCAGTGCAGATAAAAAAAAGTAGAACATGCTGCATTTTTGTTCTGCACAGAACCGTACTGGAACATAGCAAACTGCATCAACAACTGCACTGGCACAGAGTGTGGTGTGAACTGTAAGCAAAACTGTATCCGGAATGCGTTTTTGTGGTGTGAATTGCCTTTACACCTTTGAATTTACACAGGAGGTCTGGTGCAGCCCATAATCTGACGTTCACGGTGATACGTGTGTATGACGATCGCTGTTTACATGCAGGACCAACTCGTGCATTCACCTTTGTTTGTTAGGATGGGGTGACACGGGTGCACAAAGTCGCGCATATATATATATATATATATATATATATATATACGTGATTTGCGCTCCCTCGGTTTTCGCAGGCGAGGAGCTAGGATGCACGAGACCCCGCCGACCCGCGGGTGCCATGATTTGATACCCAAGGGATCAATCATCCGATTTAGGCCAGTGATGGTCGGCCTAAGTCGGATGATCGATCCCTGTTCTATCAGGGATCTTCCTGTACCTGTTTTTACAGTTACACAGGTACAGGAAGTGATGACATCTTCTCTCTTTGGGCACATTCCATCCCAGAGAGAGAAGAATCAAGACCTGTGAGTAAAACAGCACACTTTTCTCGGTTAGAACACTTTAGGACACGCTCACATACACAATAAACCTCCATTGCTAGTATAGTGTCTGAACGAATCAATATCTCTGATCAGATTAGCACTATACCAGCATTCACATTAGTATAGTGTCCCCAAAAATGCAGGCTTAGCAGGACCAGCCCCAGCACCTGTGCTTAACCCCCCCCCTTCTCCCCCAGCAAGTGCAGTGCCAGTAGATCACTGTCACTTAATACATTACACACAAAACCGCAGTGTTCGCAGAATCAGGCCTGATCTCTGTTAGCACTTGCTGGTAAATATTTTGTAGCGGTTCAAGCAGTCCCTGACAGCCAGGTGCTCTTTTTCCAGTGAGTTCCACTAGGTACCTATAAATTTAGTGGCCAAAATGTCAGTGGAATGGTACTCTAGTGAAGAGGCCTACAGGATTCTGAGCATGTTAGATGAGAGCAAAGGGGAAGACTCACTGACACAATCAGCCTCAGAATATGAACTTGTAGACAGCAGCGGCACCCTGACTGATAGCTCAGACGATGGAGAAGAGGTCCCTGCCAAGATCAGGCATACTTGATCCCGTTCCCAGATTGCTGAGATGTTACAAACGCATGATGACTCTCATATGCAGCAGAATGCCAGTACTAGTGCCGCTGTATCTTTTGGTGAATTGGCGAGCACCAGTGGTCTAGTACATCCTGATCTTATACATACCAGCACTGCAGTATTACTTGGTGACCTGGTAGTCCCATAAGTGCAGTACAAGCTGGTGCGGTGGCGAGCACAAGTAGTGACCTGCAGCCACCAAGAATTTGCACACAGGCCCGTAGAGCCCTTAGTTTCCTTCAGACGTGCTTGCAAATCACGATTAGCAGCCCACAAATTCTTCCCCCATTCACTGCCCAACCTGGAATTCAGGGGGAAACAGAAAATTTAGCTACTCCCCTTGATTTTTTTGGAGCTGTTTTTCAATGAAGATCTGTATGCATTGATTGTGGATCAAAGCAATTTATATGCACAACAGTTTATCGCCGCCAACTCAAATTTAAACCTTGCCAGGCCATTCACATGGAAACATATTATGGTTTCAGATTGTAAAGTTTTTTTGGGCCTAACCCTCAACATGGGCATTACTAAAAAAAACAAATTGCAGTTGTATTGGTCCACAGGCCCGATTCATCATATGCCCATGTTCTCTGCTGCCATGGTTGCCATGGCCAGGCATAGATATGAGAGTATAATGTATTGTATGCATTTCGATGTGAACACACTTTCGTCCTCAGGGTGACCCTGAATTTTGACCGGCTCCACAAAATTTGGCCCCTCGTAAATCACCTTAACCAAAAATTTGCAGATGTCTATACCCACCAAAACATCTGCGTTGATGAGTCTCTTATTAATTTTTCTGGCCGCCTTGCATTCAAACAATTTCTCTCTAGCAAGAGTGCCAGATATGGGGTCAAGATGTAAAGGACCTGTGAGAGGGCAACAGGCTATACATATAAGTTTTGGATATGCGAGGGAAAGAATAGTCATGAGGAGCAGTGGCAAGATAGTTTGGGACTTTTGTACAATCTTGGAATTGGCTCATGGGGTACCGTGCGACCTAATCGCCGGGGCTTCCTCCAACGGCTTGTAAATGCCCGTCTTAGGGGGAAAAATCCTGCTTGAGAAATGAGGAATTGCTCGCAGTGAAGTGGAAGAACAAACGGGATGTTTCATCTTCCATTCACCCAGACACGACCATCCAAATTGCCACGGCAGCTGGTGTTGTTGAGAAGCCCCTCTGTGTCCACGACTATAACCTTAACATGGGAGGGGTAGACTTCAACGACCAGATTATGAAGCCATACTTAGTTTCCCGAAAAGCCAGACGCTTGTACAAAAAGCGTCTGTTTGTTTAT